TACCCGGTGTCTTCTTAGGAGAGGATCCCACAGTAGACAATCTCTTTAAGCAGAGAGAAAGAAAATGTCCTTTTATTGGGGGGGGAGATGGGGCACGGGGGGACAACAGGAACAGAGAACATAATTTAATTTAAAAAAAAAAACAAAACAACGAGTGGGTATTTGTTGTAAAAGACTTCACAGAGATATCTGCAAACAAGCAAGAGTTTTGTCACATTTTACCCATCAATTTTAAGACCACTGTTTTATTTGCAGTGCTGAGGAAGACATACTCCCAGCACAGAAGGGGTGTTCTTCTGTCTGTGTCCAACTCGGATCACCTACCATAGTAGTAAAGTCATTAAAACAACAAGATCCAAAACTACGAACTTGCTCCTTCCCCCCTCCTTAGGGCGAGACAGAACAGATGTCTTCTTCACACGCGGAGAAAGATCACGTGCCTCTGCCACACAATTCAGCAAAAGAGACATCTCATGTGAACATGGGAGAAAATACATAGAGCAGGGTACACAAATCAACTGTCAAGATAAAGGAAAACCACTTTGTCCCAACCGAAGGGTATTTACCAGTGTGAGCAAAGACAGATCCTCAAACTGTTTTCAGGTACTTGACTGAATAATCACAGCAACATAATCAACATGTTTCACATTTATTTAAAACGAGTGCAGAAGTATTTCAGCTCCCGTGCAAACAGGTTTTCCTTCCCAAGAAGAATCTGGGCAACACTCAAGCAGATGCATAAATAGAGCGGAAAGCAAACACAAAACAAGAGGCAAAGCACAGACCCTACACCACTGCAGCGCTGCGTGGATGCACCAAGTAAGCGTAATTAGAAAAGTCAAGATTAAAAGAATGAGGAAGACGATTGGGCCAAATAAGCAACAAGTGAAAACAAAAGCAAAGGCAAATAAACAACAGAAAAGATAAACTGCTTCTCTCCCAGGACAAGCTTGCAGCCTTTTCTCCTCCGGCACCCTGACCCTCCTTTCTCCCACACCTACATGGACCCATGTCAGAGGACCTACTGGAGGGATATTGTGGCCAATTTACTTTTTTTTTTCAGCAGAAATGACCAAGATGTCCCACAGCAATGCAGCACAGCAGGACAGCATGCTCCTGCTCTCCTCCAAAAGCCTACGTGCTGAAAGCCCTCAAAGAGCACCCAAATTCACCCGAAGCATAGGTGGACTCTGCAGCACAGATGGTCCAGAGCTCACCAGGAGAATTCTGGGATTCTCCCGGCGGCGGGGAGGGTGCTGCCCTTTCGCGGGCGCCAGAGGACATCAGGGCATGTAGACAGATGGGGGCTGTTTACATTACCGAGGTTCTCGGTAGCAATCAGGAATTAAAGCTGTTATTAAATCAACCTTCCAGAACTTGAGCAGATGTTCGTGCAAACAGATAACAACAGGGTGATGTTAAACCAAAACCCTAAATGAAACAAAGACAAGGAGCAACATCTCTCCCCCATGTTCTGCTCAGCAATGCCAGGCATTATCAGAAGACAAATCAATTATCAACAGCTACGTATAGCTACCCAAATCAGGGGCTGAACAGCTTAATTGAGGGACGTGTATCACGAGTTAAAGGCCTCCAATCTCATTTGGCACGTTACGGTTTTGTTCTTGAAAAAAAAAAAAAAACAAAACAATAAATCGGCTGGCTGTGGCTCAGACGGAGGCATAATGCCATCCTCCTCATTAATCAAAGGCTTTCCCCACATCCAGATGTTTGCTGACTTGTACTGCTTTCTTTTATTACTGGTTTGGAGACAGAAATTGCTGTATGCTAAAGTTACTCAAATTCAACTGGTTGTTGCAAGATGCACAGGCTGTTATGTGCTTGGTAACTGCACCCCGGCATTATTGAGTTACCGAGGCATTCAATGAAGAGTGGCTGTTTTCTTTGACAACTTGTACTACTTTCACCAGAACCATGAGAGTAAAACGCTATTTTACTTTTAGGACTGTGGGAATTTTACTGCAAGCCCAGAAAGTAGCCCGGTTTTTATGACCGATCAACATTTGATGCCCAGGGTTTGGAGAAAGGAGAAATGTAAAAAGACGCAGAGTACACCAGAGAAAGACAATGCACGCACTGATAAATGTCTCAGCAGGAAACCAGGACTGTTAATAGCCGTATTATTCAATAATTCTGAGCAACAAAAGTGATGCTACAGCCAATACGGGATATGAAGCAATCTCTTCCCAAAGCTTTCACGACCTCAGTAGATAAAGTAACCAACCCACACTGGGAAGCGTTGGCTGGAAGGGACCTCTGGAGGTCTTTGAGCCCCACAGTCACCAGCATGAGACCCTGCCGGGCACAGCTTTGCCCAGCCAGGCCCCAAAACCTCCAAGGATGGGGGGGTCCACAGCCTCCGGGCTGAGGCTGAGAGCTCAGAGACGGAGTTCAGCTCCCTCCCTGATGTTCCCATGTCTCTCTCTCTATTATCCCTACTCTGTATCTATAAGATCCCTTTCTTCCCATAAATCTATATAATTCTCTATGGGTTGTCTCACATAGGGTTTAGGAGTAGCCTTTAGTGCAAAGGAACCATAACTCAAAAGGACTGCCTATGTTTCCCTAATGCTTTTGTTTTTAAACAAATTAAGCCTGTGAGGTACTGAACATATGCTAGACATCCCCAGCTCTTGCTGGCATGTTTCTGAAAAACAGAAAGTTTGTGCTTTTCTGGAGAGTCAGGTCATTAACCTGACTATTTAAAAATCAGCCTATTATACAAGGAAACTTCTAACTGCCTGAACTACAGGTTATAAATCTCCTGTTTAGAAATCTGATATCCTGACATAATTGCCCTTATAACTTACAAATAGGCTCTCTGTTATCCATAGATTAAGCTTCCTCCAAAGCCACATCACATCTGCTTAGTTTTGAAAATATACAGCACGAGCTTCAATTACTTTACACTCCGCACAAAAATAATCCTGAATTTAACTCAGGGCTTCTTGGAATAAGAGTTTAAGACCCCATAATCTTTCTATTTCATGTTTTCTTGCAATCTAATAGATGGAAGCATTGGCCGACATGTAAAATTAATGCCACCTTCCACTTCTACGATTTCCCAACAATTTAACTACATTGCAGTGGAATTTTTAAAGCAGATATGGCAAGCAAAAGTCCCACCACCTAAACAATCTGAAATATTCTGTAGGGAAATGGCCAGCTACTAATTGGAACCACAGTCTTTTCACATCCCTGTAGGAAGAGGGTTTGGTTTTAAAGAAACCGGAATTAACTGCAATTTCTCTGAAGGATGAAGCTTCTGTCGCAGCTCCCCTTGTTAATGAAACCGATCTCAGATCCCGACCCGTGACCACTCATGCAAGCTCCCAGATAGAAGTGTCTGGACTTCAAAGGGGCAAACTGGGGGCCTCCAACAGCATCATCCCAGTGCATGGCATAACACACCTGAGAGCTTTTGCAGAACTGGGGGCTTAGTGACAAAAACCTGCAGCAAATGAGGAAAAAAGCCAAATCCATGTTTCAAACCAGCTATGCCTCTTCTCAGCGGAGGGGACATCACACAGCGCAGCCAGACGACAGCCGACTTTTCCTTAAACGACTCCTTCGCCTAACGAACAGCGCGAAGTGCCGGCAGAGGAGTTTTCAGAGACCCATTCAGGAAGAAGCCGTCCCTCTCATCCCAACACAGCCTCACAGAGCCCAAACATGGGGGATGCCCGAGGGGCTCAGCCGCCCCCCGGCGCCACAGATACCGGCGTTACCCCAATCCCCGCTGAAGCCGGGAACGCGCCTCGCTGAGAGCCGAGCCAACACCCGCCCGCTGCTTTCAGACCGGCGGCCGTAATCACTCGCCGGAAAGATGTTTAGAAATGGCACTGTGGGGCACCATCTTTTTAATTCTTACTCAATAGCTTCCAGAGATTAGATTTGTAAAGAGGGGTTGTTTTGTTTTTTTTAAACTACCAACGTTGCGAGCTTGTTGGGATCTGGAAGCCCAGCCTTTGCCTTCCTGTCCCTCACAGCCTTCCCTGTCTGGGTCTTACAGAGTGCTTTTTGTCTGTTATCCGTCTTTCAGATTAAACTCTTCGGATGAGGGGCTGTAACTAGTAGAGTATCGAACACACCAGCTGCTAAATGAGACGAATAACGAACACCATCTCACAAACTCGCCCGGCAGCTTTGCCAGCATTTCCCAGACGAGCCAGGCTCCAACTCGCTCCTCAACCACCAAATGCCCTCCCACGGCTGGTGGGGGCCGTGGCCCCTTTCTGTGCCCAAACCCACGCAAGAAAAGCCCACGAGGACGCTATCCACGGCCCGCACCGAGGCCTGCTTTCCTCAGGCTGAGCCGTGGCCGCCCGACCGGAGCCGTGGTCCCGGGTTTCGCCTCAAAGGAGCGACTTCTCTCACACGCCTCGCCTGACGGCCCCGCTCCTCTGAGGGACCCCTCGAGGCCAGCGGGTGCCGTCCAACCG